TATATATATATATATAATGCATATATACAGCGCATATTTACATAGTTTATAGATATATGTGAAAAAGCATACACATGTACATGCGTATGTACAGTTGTAGGGAGAGAGAGATGTATATGTATATATTGATGCGAACCGACTTTATAGTGTTTTAGCTAATATTGTATATTTACGCCTGCTTGCATATGCGAACGACGGGGGACAGACCCCGAAGGTGGCGGAGCAGTAACCGGCTCTTTCGAGGCAGCTAGTGCTGCCTAAAGCTAAGGAACCTAGGCTATCCCAGGCTTGCTAGCCGTAGCTAGCTACGGCTAGCTGCAGCTAGCCGCTGCTGTAGCTGGTGCTGGCCCTACTCTACGTGCTGCCCTACGTAAGAGCATAGCTTGCGTTGGTGGCGCTCATGATTGCTACCTGTGACGTAAATGTCCACAAACGTTTAAGATTTGGAATGGGTAGAATACAGATAAATGTGTTCTGCAGATGGTTACTGTTCAGCGTGCATTTATGTATAGCAGAATTGGTTGACTAGGCTATGCGTGCTTTCTCGGAGCAGATACTCCTGGCTAGTTCTTGGAGGCCTTGCAGTTAGTGTCAACAGTTAGGCTAGTTTGTTTTCGCTTAGGTTTGCTTCCTTTTACTAATTGAGCAGTTAGGCGTTTGGACTAAGTAAAGACTCGTACATGTAGGCTATATGCGTGTCGGCCACCTGCAGCCGAAGGCACTGGTAGCCACTGGGAGGCCCAGGCCGCTCTGACCGTAGTCTATGGAGACCCGAGATAAATGCAGAAATTAATAAATGCAATTAAGCGTAAATAATCATAGCCGTTGTTTCATCTCTATGGACAAAGTCGAGAAGTAGGAGGCGAGTGGCGAGCGAGCTCACCTTGAGATGTACACCTGAACTGCGGCGGAGGTCGGAAGGGAGTTTGTGGGGTTGTGCTACCACTACTACGTTCTAAAGCAGAGGAGGACAAGAAACAAGGTTTATGGGCAACCCTAATAATAAGAGACTGACAAATTAATGTTCGTGTATCTTGCTTTGGAGCGCCGCTGCCGCCAGTGGATGCTGCACGCTGCCTGCTGCTTGGCGGCTCCGTTATCGGCTGCATGCTCAGAACGGAGTTATGTGAATGCAGGATGCTTGTGTTTAATTGTTGGACTGAGTATTTTTGGGTTTATTTGAGGATTTATTGAATTCTTTCTGTATATTTTGGTTCTGTGCTCGCTTGAAAGCGGCCGTGCCGCGTGGACTCCTTGCTTGGCGATGGCTCAGGTGCTGTTGGACAGCGACGGGCTGCCTTGCGTGGCAGCTGTGTCTACATCTGCGTGCCCTCCTAGAGCGGGAGCAGAAGCAACATCAGCATGCGGTGGAGCTGTACAGACGGGCACGACGATAGTTGCTTGCTGCTACAATGGTGGGGTGGTGTTGGGGGCAGATTCGCGTACGTCTGCTGGATCTTACGTGGTAAATAGGGCTGCTCGGAAGATAACGCGACTGAGCGATCGGATTTGTGTGTGTCGTAGTGGAAGCGCAGCAGACACGCAGGCATTGGCCCAGATTGCGCGACTCCATCTCCAGCTGTATGCGCAGGAACTCCCCAGAGAATTCAACGGTGCAGCCCGTGTGCGCGTTGCCGCCCACCTGCTGCAGCGGATTTCTTATGATTATAAGGACGTCCTTACTGCTGGTTTAATTGTTGCGGGGTGGGACCCTGTAGAGGGACCTCAGGCCTTCTCGATCCCAATTGGCGGCAGTTGCATCCCAGTGGCCTATACAGCTGGTGGTTCAGGTTCTGTCTTTATCACTGCTTTCTTAGATGAACACTACAGACCTAACATGGGGAAAGAAGAGGCAACGCAGCTCGTAGCGAAGGCTGTAGCTCATGCAATCAACAGAGACGGCAGCTCAGGTGGCCTCATTCGTATTGTTACCATTGAAAAAGATGGGGTTGACGAACTCTGCATCCAGGGCAATAATTTGCCTGTTAATCCTTAAACATATCAGCTCAAAATGTACGTGCTGCTGCTGGCGTTTCTACGACCGATCTTGCTTTGAGGGGTGGGAACAGGCATTAGTCCTTGGCGAGCAGCCTTTCGTTGTGCATGCAGCAGCAACGGCGGCAGCAGGAAGGAGTAAAAGCAGCAGCAGCAGGCACCTTTAGCAGCAAGTCCAAGTCGATCTGCGCAACACAGATCACCACGTGGAGGTAGCTGCAGCTGCAGCAACGGCACCGGCTTGCACAGGGAGCAAGCAGTTCCTGCATGGAGCTACAGCATCGGCCTCGTGCCCGTGCTGTAGCCTCTGCTGCTGTTGTGCAGTGTGTCCGTTGTTGATATTTACACAACAGACAAAGGATTTCATTTGTACATACACTTGAAACCAATTCGGAGGCAAAACGTTCTAGCAGTACGTTTACGCACACCCGAATTCCACTACAGGCAGACATACGGGAAATAATCAGTAGTATGTTGCATGGATGCTTACATTTATCAATACTGGAGATGTCAGTTAGTATTCCAGCGATTCACAGCTATGAGTATGCACAACATGGTTAGTTTTTGTTCTGTATGCTACGTATGCAAACAAGGCAACCTGCAGGTATACTAATGAGGAATAGTGCCTGCTTGGTTGGGCGTACAAAGGTAGTTACAGAGTACGACTTGCAAGGAAGCCGACTACGGGGCTCGAACCCGCGACCACCAGCTTAAAAGGCTGGCGCTCTACCGACTGAGCTAAATCGGCGGGTGTCTAGTGGCGTTGGCATTTGCCTGTTGTGCTACTAATGTTTGCTACTGCACCAGCTCGAAGTAGCGTGTTTGTGCTTAGTTGTAGAGCAGCAGCTTCCTTTGGCAGCCTTCGGCCTCCAAATGCAATATGTATGCAAGCAGAAATGTTCGACAAGCCTCCACTTACGTCAGGCTGTTCTGGAGTCTCCAAGTCTATCCTAGCTGTAGCCGATAGTGTAGAAAAGGCATCGAATGTCTATTTTGTGGGGGTTAGTTTGCAGCAAGCAACTGCTCCTGCCGTTTTCTTTGACTGGCGGAGTGTAGTGGTTCTACTAACAGTCGTCTTTATCTCAATGGTTTGCATGCATTGATGCAGCAGAAATACAGTAAAAAGTACATCGAATGCTATCCAGTAATCTTTCCTTCCGTTTATTTCTATGTACATTTATACATAGACTCATATATACCTGTGCAGAGGTATAAGTAGATATATCTATAGTATATATAAACATTACGTGTACAGATACATCGGTACTTTGCAATTGCTTTGCGTATGCGAATATAAGTGTTGCTGGATTACTTCTGTTTTTAAAATTGGTTTAGTTTTGCATGCATCTCCAGGAAACTTCTGGATTACCGCGCCTGAAGAGGCGTGGTAGGCAACTGAGTTGAGGTACCAGTTTGTCGGGGCTGAGTACACAACTAAAGCAAGAACATTCAATTCAAAACACATACAATCAACTTCAAACACGCCCTCTAATTTCGTTTCGTTTGGTTTTCTACTCCATCCGCCCTCGAACCTCGAGGAAGAGCTGTGTCACCACCCTAAAGAATTTCAGCATTGGCGGCTCCGGATTATCATCATCTGCTGCTGCTGTTGCCGCAGCCGCTGCTGCCGCATCTTCTGCTTGTTGCTGATCTTCCTCTACCCCTACACGGAAAGGCTTATTTGCGCCCCCTTCACCATAAGGGGTACTAGGAGGAGTGGATGCTGTGCTGTTTGTCCCTTCTTCTGTCGAGATACTACCCTTATCCCGCATTGGTGGCGGGAATAGTAAATGGGGGCTCAGCCCCTCTGGAGGTTTGGGACCGCCGCTCCCTGTGTAGCTGCTGTAGTCGCTGCTGATGGGACTGTTGCTGTCACTTGCGCTGTGAGTAGCACCAAGGCAGAGTGTTGCTGGTGAGAGGGCCACCAGACACAGGGCAACTTTTAAGGGGGACAAGCCGAGCATTTTGTTTCTCTCTCGGCTCACCAAATAGAAGAAAATATTCGCAATGAAAATGGAAGCACAAAAATGTTGAGACATCCGGAAGACATCTATGCGGCCTCATCTACGGAACAAATGGACCGACAGGCAGACCGCTGCCTTGCGGAGCGACATTGCCAGGGGCGGGGCGATGGTCTGCCAAAAGAATTAACACACGAGAGTGGTCTTCGCTGACAAACATGAAATAAGGCGCATTTCCATTAAAAACGTATCTGCGCCTGGTTATTTACGTAGCATTTACCGCCAATATTGACAAAACCCTTACCTGTAATCCGTCAGCTGTGCAGCACATGCTTTGTGCCCGAGGCGTCGCGACAGAACCAGAACGGTCCCATTCGAGACCACTGATCACCTTGTAAGACTCCCCTCGAGCCGATTATCTAGTAGAGGCAAGCAAATATAAGGCTAAAACATTGTACTTCTCAATAATCTTAAGACTGCTTTAAGGCACGCGAGAAGCAGCGCTCCCAGCGCAAACATCGGTTCTTTAAGGCGCCAAAATCGCATCCGTCACCAAAATGTGCTGAACGTACGTTTACAAAGCAAATGCATATACAGCTATATACAGCGCACACACTCTATAGAGTCGTTAGCCTGCGCAGCTTAGCTACTACGTGCAGGCCACGCCGACCAGACACCATGCAAGAGTTTCATTGGAATGAAGAACATCAAGACCCCAAACGCTGCCTTGGCAGTGAGCATACGAAGCCAATTTTGGAGACGAATCGCGGTGTCAATTTTCTAGGGATTAGAATCCCCTGCTGAGAGACGGCATTTAAAGTAATATCTCCAATTACTAATACAGTGATGATGGCTTTAGACGAACGATTCCTTAACCGTAAACGTACTATGACACCCGAGTACGGGCTGCGGTGCATACATACCTGCTGGAGTGCATTTTGAGGACCGCAGATGGCCTCTTATGAGTCCGCTGCTGCTGCAAGACCACTCATGAAGCAGGCCAGTGCTTCCAGTTGATGCGTGCGACAATACAATGGGCAGTTGCCGAACATTTCACTGGCCGAAGGGAGGAATGGGGGCTGTTAGTTGCAGGCCAACACGCAGGTGCTAGTTCCCATTTCAACGGGCTCGTACTCCATGTGGCCTCCCGTACTCTCACCAAATAGCACCTGGCTACTCAAAATCAAATAGGTGCATTCACGATAAGCATGATATGAGAGGAGCCAACATCCAGAAGATGGGAAAAGAAAAGAAAAAAGAAATGGAAGGAAGGGCGAAGGGGTTTTTTCCACGCTGAATGCATCTGCTGCTATTGTTGTCGACCTCGACTGCTTTCGCCGGTACCTCGCATTGCCGTGGTCATTAGTCACATTGGTTCTGTGGTGTTTGCCGTTGAGGGGAACCAAAAATAAATGAGCACAACCGAACCTGAGAAATAGTTTGCAGTGAAACGTTGCCGACGCATTGCGTCAAACCGCGTGATAGGTAGGTTAGCCATACAACCCAGATATCATAGCAGTGAATTTGTTTTCTCCTGCGGTACTGAGCTGCTCAGATACTGTGGGAGGAAGGGAGGAAACAAAAGGGAAATTTACACATTTGAGAACGTAGGTATAATCGAACCATCTTAGACGAGAGAGGCAAGTTGGGCAAGGGACAAAAATATTTTCAGGTTGTTTGCAAGAAGAAGTTGAGTTGTAGTGCGAAGGCCCACACTTGGACTAAATAGAAAGGATGCTCCAGAGAAGATGGTAATTCGCGCAAGCCGCGGACAGACGACCAATGAGGTTGCCTATTACATGGCCATTTAACGGAATATTTCCTCTATGTGTGAACATCTTGTTAGTGAGTCCAGTAGCTCAATCTGCTTCAACTGCTGTTCCCTGCAGTGAAGGCGTTGCCACTATCCTGGAGTTCCTGCTTCATCATTCAAAACAACCAATATTAGCACGGCGCTATCGTTAGGAGCAAGTCTGCAGTGTAACTGCAGTGTAAGTCACTTGGGTGAGCCGATAACAAATAGCAAAACGTCCTTCTGCAAGGCAGTTAGTGTTGAGTTCCTTCAGTTGACTTCACTCCTGCACGCCTTCAATTGCGTTCAACCCGTCAAAGCCAATCAAGTGGGCGAAACAAGAATTCGATGGACTCTGGGAAAGCATGCAGGATAAATAACAGGTCAGCAAGAAAGCCTTGACTACTACCCACCACAAGAAAGGGGCAAACGGAGGAAATCCATCACATCCCTCACCTACAGGAGGTCTTTCTCGACTTTTCTAGCGTTCGTCCTAGGACATGTGTTTTACATCAGGTTGTTCCGGTGTGAGGAGTGTATTCGCAACGTCTATCTCCGCCTTTTAAGCGTGGGGTGCTAGCAAGGGATGGGAGTGCCGTTGGCATTAGTGAGCACTGCTCCAATCTGCACTGGCGTCAAGACACGTTAGGGTATGCACTAAGAGAGATGGCTTCCTCCGCTTCCTGCACCGTTGCTCAAAAAGGCTGTTCGGTGGAGACAATAAGAGATAATGACACAGTTTTCTGTGTTATTCAAGGACCTTAACGAGCTGCAGTGCAGTAAAAATAATTCATGTGTAAAGCGTGTCCTGGGTCTTATATTAATGCGGCATTGAGAGACAGTGGAGCCCAAAAATATATAGCAGAGGTTTTCAAAGTCAACTGATATCCTTACTACGTCTGCGGAAATCGTGACATCGGCGGCTCAAGCGCTTGGTGTTGGAGGAGATGAAGGAGCAGGCCGTGACATTCTCACTGTGCCGCGCCTCAAGGTGCACAACTGGGTAACATACAGTGTTGAACAAGCCTTCTTGGCTGTATTTACGAAGACTGGGACAGTTGTTCAGAGCTTTTGCTTGCGTACTGTTCTGCTACTATGGCCAGGTAAGGGCTGATGCGCGCACACCACACACAGTTGCCAGAACCACACAGCCTTTTGTAATTCCCTTGCAAGGCTCCAGGTTCCGTGCGCCCAGCAGGCCAACAGCCTGGAGCTGGTGGACAGAATGCGGCCTCATAGGAGTTCAGTGGGACTCGTTGCAACTCAAGGCACAACATCACCCCACCCGGCAGTAACCAGCCCTTCATGGCTCTACGCACGAAGACCGTACACACCTGTCGAAGAATTATATTTGCGCATGTTGGCTGCTAAGGCAGAGTAGGGCTACATGCACCACCTTTAGGCAGACATGCGAATATCGGAACGGCTCTGCAGCGGGCACTTGACGTTTACCAGCATCTATCTCCCTCCACCGTAGCCCCACAAGCATCCAAACACCAACACGAAGGCCGCAAGATATTGTGAGCAATTATTTCGTCAACACTTGCTATACTGCGTGTGAGCTGGAATACGTGTACGAGCTGTAGAGCACTCCGGGTCATCGCGACAACAACAAATACTACCCAACATCGCAGAGGTATTTTCGAGTATTTCGTAGAACACGCAACATTATCAAGGACAACCAATCAAAAATAAATGTTATGCCCTTCACTTTTGCTTTCACTGCCGAATAGCAATGTTGCAGCAGCAGGTGTTCCGCTGCCACTGTGCCAGGGCCGCATGCAGCCAGGCGTCGTCAGGGGCGCCGTTCCGACAAGGGAGCTTCGACACTTCTTCGTTCCTTTATATTTCAAGGTATGTATGTGTCCATTCCTTTTGTCTTATTCAGGTGTGGAATCTACAGCCACGACAACAGAAACAGCACAAGCAGCAACTGTAGCGACGGCAGTAGCAACGGTGCCTGAAGGCTTGGAAACAAGCTAATTTTCACTCTGCTGCCTTTAGTTTTAGCAGATTTTCAGTTCATATGATTAATTGTTGAAACTGCAGCACTTGCTGCAAGAGTTGCCGTTGAACTCGCTCTGCTGTTTCTCCTGCAGCTGCTGCGGCGGCAGCGGAACGAACACGAGTCAGCACGATGCATAACCATGGCATACTGCCGGTTGGTATGCCTGCCCCCCTATCTAGGGGGGCGCAGAAACAGCAACAACAGCAGCAAGCAGGAGGGGGCTCCTCTGCCCCCGACCTCTTGAGCTCGCTGAAGCCGTGTGCCTTGCCAGAGGACATGCCACTTCCCGTCAGCAGCAGGAAGGCAGCAGCAGCTGCTGCTGCAGAGAATGAGGATGATGATGATACCGGGGGCTTCGACTGGAAGGCCCTCTCCCGTTCTTCCCAGCAGCAGCGAAAGCAACAGCACCACCGGAGTAATGCGGACGCCGTTGCTACAGCTTCTCAACGTATAGCTGTGATCACCGGCACTGGAAGTTCCCAGGAAGGTGCTGCAGGTGCAACATCAGCAGCACACCAACACGCGAGCCAGAAGCCTGAATCCGATCGCCCAGGTCCTCAAGACGGCACGGATGCCTTAGGACGCAAGGTGAGATATTAGCAGCATTACCAAAAACAGCTGCAGCAATAGTGCCAACATGAGATACAGAGGCGATTGTGGCCGATGGCTGCTGCTGTAGAGAGAGGCGGCGTCCGGGTCCATTCACACCTGCTAACGTTGCTGCGTCATTGTTGGCTGGCCTGTGCATACGGCACTCCTGCGTGCAACATTTGGTGCACCAGCTACAGCAATTGCCACAGCATCTGCGGTTGCTGCGGCTGTAGCACCTGCCACATGAGCTGACCACCTCTATTTACAGCTGCCTCTCCTGTTGTTGTAGGCCTTGCTGCTGCAGGAGGATGGGACACTGCGGGTTGCACCGAATTACGGGTGGTTGCCGTGCTGTTGCATTTGGTGGTGGTTTTGCTGCTGTTGCTGATACGTTTGCACCAGGTGTGGGACAAGGAGTTTTACGAGGAGAAGGCAAAGGAGAAGGCCGCTTCGCTAGGAGTCGACTCCTTTTTGGATTTGCTGCCTAAACCTCGAGAGAAACCGAAGCCCCCCCCATTGCCACCCTGTGGTTACCGGCAGCTGCTGCAGCGGCGAACCTTTAAGATAGACTTCGCGAGAGAAGTTGGCCGCACCAAAATTGTTACATTGCAGACCCCCAGGATGCAGCAAGGAGGGTACGTACTTAATTATGCTTCCTTGTGCTTTTGCTGCTGTAGGTGCTGCTCCTGCTGCTCCTGCTGCTCATGGCGCTGCGGGGACTATCCCTCTGCTGTTGCTTCTCTCTGGGTTCTGTTCCTTGAGTTTGTTTACGTGCTGCCTGTCCCGGTCTTGCTGCTGAGGATCATCTCGCTCGTAGCCTTGTAGTTTTCCTGCCGGTGGCTGCTGCTGATGGTGACGCAGGTGCTCTTGTTCTTGCTGCTTTTAGTACAGTCACACTAGTGCTTTTGCTACTGTTTGCCAGTGATGGTGCTGCCGCTGTTGCTGCTGCTCTTGTTGGGAATTGTTTGGGAGTTTTTGTTGCTGCTGCGTTCGATTTGGAGGCTGCTGTGCTTGCCGTACCTATGTATTTTTAGGCGAGCACGCAATAGCAGCAACCACAAAAATAGTGATTGAAGCTGCAGGAACATCAAGAGCAGTTGCAGCAGGTGAAGTGGCAGGGATAGTTGTTTGCTTGTGCGTACAGGTTCTGGTGCGACATCTGCGAGTGCCTGTGCAAAGACTCCCAAGCTTATTTGGATCATATTAACGGGCGCAACCACAACCGACTTCTTGGTGAGTGTTGTACTTTTCATTTGCATGCTAGCTCATGCGGTTTCTAGGGTGTTCTGCTGAAGCAACCTAAATGAGTAGAAACAAAAAATATCTTGGATGCTCACGTGCGTTTCCTTGGCGATATGGTGGTATATCGAGCGTTGCTGCTTGCTGCCGCAAGCATTTATTGTGTTGTTCCATTGTGTGGACTTCTGCGCCTGGGTGCCTGTACACAGGAATGAGTATGCGCGTTGAGCGGGTGTCGTTGGCGCGGGTCAAGGCGGCTCTACAGGCAGAAAGGCTGGCCTTGGAAGCTGGAGGGGAGCAGCTGAACCCAAAGATTACTGTTGATGCGCCTCTTAAGCAGCACCAGCCAGGAGGGGGAGGGAGTCAAGGAGCGGCAGGGGGCATAGGGTCCCTTCCGACTGGCGGGGCCATTGAAGAGGGAGCCCCTGAGGCGGAAGATGAATTTGAACGGGTCAAAAGACGTTTAGAAGAACTTGAGAGGGAGCAAGAGCTAAAGAAGCAGCGCAAGAAGGAAAGGAAGAAAGCTGCTGCTGCTGGAGGCGGAAACACTGTCTCAGCCACAGGTGGAAAACCAGCATGCAGCGGATTGGAAGCCAATCCTGATGCTGCTGCCCTCGCAGCAATGGGGCTGCCGACTTCTTTTACTGGCTGCTGATTAGCTCCATATCAGGGAAACGCAGACATGATGCGGCAGGAGAAGCAGTAGCTGGAGCAGCAGCTGGAGCAGCCTTACTCTCCAATTGCTGCGAGGTTGTCTCCGGGTGCGGTTTTGCTGCCGTACCCACTGGCTGCTGAACTCCAACAACCAAGTCCTTTACATCCATATTTGCAAAGCTCTTACCAACTCTAAACGTTGGCAAAGGCATCGGGGCGTCGAGAGGCCAGGAGTTGTGCTGGAGCTGAGTCACAAGATGGCTGTGACAGAGGCTGCATACACGAGTTTTACAATGAGAATATGGAAGGCTCGAGACACTGGCTTACTTAGAGGGGCAATTGGGATTTTGGGTACACATACATCTGCCTGCGTGGAAGGGAGTTGTAGGGATGAACTCCTGCGACATCTGTTGGGCTTTGCTATTCGGCTCATAACTTCGACCCGCTTTATTCACCAGAGATGCCACGGGGGCATACACCAATTGATCTATGGTCGTTTTTGCATTTTTTATATATGGAGGGTCTTATTTATTCTGCTTATATGCTGCGTGAACACGGGTGAGTATAAAACAGGATTTCAGCTGCAACGGCCCAAGTTGACGCATGCAACTGGAGGCGCAGGCAGCATGAGTAGTGGATGGACAACCGTTCACGTAGGGGCTGTGGGTCCCCTCGGAAGCATGGCCTTGAAGGGGTCCCGATATTACATCGTTCTGCGTAGCGACGACTTACAGGCACGCACACTGGAGAAGGTGCTGCCTGACACACTGTGTTCAGTAGTCCTTTTGTAGAACCTTTCGCAGCTGCATGACAAAGAGGGTCCTCCGCTGGGTGTAAGCTGACAACGGACGGAAGCTAAATAACAGAATGCTTAACTACAGCGATATCCGTATGTGCATCGGGAAAGGAGTTTGGGAATGCCTGATTGTGGGCTCCCTTGCAGCAAGAGTTGCAGCAAGGAGTGGTGTAATTGGATGCACCACTGCTTCCGTACAGCAGCCCGACGGTCTTTGCGGCAGCTGTGCTTGCAGCAAGAGTTGCAGCAAGGAGTGGTGTAATTGGATGCACCACTGCTTCCGTACAGCAGCCCGACGATCTTTGCGGCAGCTGTGCTAAGGACTGCTGTATGCTGATGGGGAGATTAGATGACTCAAAGGCACTAACATAAGCGTGTTTACTCTAATGCAGCTCACAGCGGCCGTATGCTAAGGTTGACAGTCGCTGAGCATGTTGGTAGGCGCCTAACCATCAGATTGGCAGCCGCATGCTCCCAACTCCATTCCACTCGTGGACGGTCTGGCTGGGGACACTGTTTTGCCACAAACGCTCTTTGTTTGCATGACTTTCGTGGAAACCTTATAGGAACCCAGATTTTAATATCGGTTGATGAATATTTGTCACTCCAAATTAGGGTTAGGGTTAGGGTTAGGGGGAAACTCCGCAGTTTAGGCTGTTGCAAAATAAAAGGGTTTAGGGTTAGGGTTTAGGGTTAGGGTTTAGGGTTAGGGTTAGGGTTAGGGTTAGGGTTAGGGTTAGGGTTAGGGTTAGGGTTAGGGTTTAGGGT